GGCTCACTGCATCCTTGACATCCTGGGCTCAAGGGATCCTTCCACCTAAGCCTCATGAGTAGCTGGGACTTCAGGCGTGCATCACCACACCCAGCTAGATTTTGTAATTTTTGTAGAGGTGGAGTTTCACTAAGTTGTCCAGGCTGGTCTTGAACTCCTAAGCTCAAGCAACCCACCCACCTTGGCCTCCCAAAGTGCTGGGATTACAGGTGGGAGTTACCACACACTGCCTAAGCGTTTATTCTTAATGTTTGAAAGTAGCTGCTGAGGTGATGGGTATCTCAATTACTCTAATTTGATCATTACACATTGTATGAATGTATGTATGTATCACCTGTGTCTCACAAATATGTACAGTTATGTAGCAATTTTTAAAAACAAAATTTAATGTAAAAATGATTACTTCAGGTTGAGGTAATGAAGAGGAAGCTGTATAACATTTGAAATTGATTCTGTACATTCATATCTAATTCTTGAGATAGAGACTTGATTTCTATTAAAGTTATTTGGTTCTTTAAGTAATTTGAGTAGTATAACTGATCTGTAATTTTTTCTTTGAAGTATGTATTTTAATAAGTTTGCTATAATTTTTAGTGTGCTTTTAAGAGTTTTATATAATAAAAAAAAAAACATATTCCCAGTATTTATACACTGCATTTAATTTTACTTAATTTTGCTGTGGGCCTACCTATTTGTATTCAAATATATATTACCTGTATTTTTAATATAGCTTGGAGAGTTTATAGATAATTTTGTGTTCTGGTGTTTTAAAATAGTGTCACATATACTTTTTGTATATTTTTACTTGTGATACTTAAAGTTGTATTTTATTTCATTGATATTAAATCAGGTTGGTTGGATTCTGATAAATGTCCTTTTTTAAAAACAATCCTGCCCTGGATCAAAATTTCTTCTGAAATACGTTTTACGTTTTCTAATAGAGTTCAGTGAAATATGAATTCAAAGTAAATTTATTTCATGGATCATGTTTAATATGCTTATTTATTATAAATGGTATTTACAAATGTAATCCATTTTAATGTTTGGAATATATACACATAGAATTCTCTGTCTTCCCAGGGAATAAAACAACCACTGGCATGAGGGTAGAGAGAGATAAGTTGGGGGTGTTTGTAACTTCATGTCATTATGTCTGTAAGGGATACATGCTCGAGTGGACTTGTAGAAGCAGAGTTGTCTTATCTCTTGGCCATGTATCAGCCTGACTGAATGGAGAGATCAGAATTCTTGGTGAAACCGGATAAAAGATATCATAGAAAGTCCTTAATGTTTGGGCAGGATTGTAGCCAAATGTATAATCTGTTTCTTTGTATGGCTGATAGAATCAAGTAGTGTGTTGGATTTCTTAATGTTTTCCTTATTTTCAATTAATATTCAGTATATAAAAGGAGCATGCTCTGGAATTTTCAGATTTCAGTTGATAATATTCTGAATAATATCTCTACCATCAAATATTCTGAATCTTAGGTAAATGATTCAGATGGTAGTTATAAATGTTTTGAATTCAGGTAGAGTCGTTGCCCTCTGACTTCATCCGGCAGACAAGTATGGTCTCAGCTACACCATTGAGAACTAAATAATAATCAGCACTTGGGATATTATATAGCTTATTTTAAAAACATTTCACTGGCTGGGTGCAGCGCCTCATGGCTATAATCCCAGCACTTTGGGAGGCCAAGGTGGGCAGATTACTTGAGGTCAGGAGTTCAAGACCTGCCTAAGCAAAATGGCAAAACCCTATCTTTACTAAAAATACCAAAGTTAGCCAGGCATGATGACATGTGCCTGTAATCCTGGCTACTTGGGAGACTGAGGCAGGAGAATCACTTGAACCTGGGAGGTGAAGGTTGCAGTGAGCAGAGATCACGCAACTACACTCCAGCCTGGGTGACAAGCAAGACTGTCTCAAATTAAAAAAAAAAATTTTTCACTTTAAGTTTCTGTGAACAACAGTGCGAAAGTACTTAATGCCACAGAACTGTACACTTAACAATAGTTAAAATGGTAAATTTTGTTATATGAAAAAAATGATTTTGTTATATGAAAAAATATTTTGTTACAGGAAATTTTGTTATAAATGTTCATAAAAATTTTTGTTACAAATTTTCATATAAATTTTTGTTTTTACAAAATTTCATATGAATTTTGTCATATGAAAAAATATTTGTTATATAAAAAAATTGAAGAAAAGAAAAGGCAATCAAATGTGTGGAAAAGTTTTTTAAATCTTCTGACAATTAAAAGAATTAAAATTAAGTAAATCCCACGTTTCTGAAGTATTTTAAATATGATTTTTACATGATTGTTAAAATAGATTTTTCCCTTGATTTCTTTTTTTTTTTTTTTTTTTTTTTTTTTTTTTGCCATATGGCCTGCACCGCACTGCACTCCCAAGCTGTAGTGCAGTAGTGCAGTCTTGGCTCACTACAACCTCCACCTCCCAGGCTCAAGCAGTCACCTCAGCCTCCCAAGCAGCTGGGTCCACATGCACATAATACCACACCCAGCTTATTTTTGTAATTTTTGTAGAGACAGGCTTTTGCCATGTTGTCCAGGCTGGTCTCGAACTCCTAGGCTCAAGTGATCTGCCCACCTCGGCCCCCAGAAGTGCTGGCGTGATTACAGGCATGATCCATCACACACAGCCTTTCCCTTATTTTTTGCGTCTCATTTTTTTTTTTAAGACTTCCCCCCACCCCCAACTGGAAACTACAGCATCTTTTAGGTTGAAACTCACAATGGCTTGTTAGAATTTTTAACTTCAAGCTTGAAAAAGGAAAACCTTAACCACTTAAGATACTGTCATTTTGTAATTGCACAAATTTAAGCTAATGTGCGTCAAGTTATTATTATTCGGCCTGTCCACAAAATATTTATCATAAGACTTTTCTTTGCTCCAGTTCCTGTAATAGTCACAGTTTTTTTTTTTTTTTTCAAGTCTCTGTTAAAGCAAAGGAGTGGCCATGAAGCCACCAGAGGGAGCCCATTGAGTACATTATATGAAACTTCAGTACTTTGGCTGTGATTTTTAAAAAGACAAAAACAGCTCTCTCAGTGTGGATGTTTTGTGTTTTGTATTACTCTCTTCACTATAGAAATAGTGTTCTGAAAACACCTATGTGATCTTAGAGGAACAACTTAGTATTTTCATTTCATAAATATTTGAATATCATATATATAAGGTAATGTGGACCTTTATAAGATGAATACAATACAGTCATTGCCTTCATGTAACGTACCTAAGAAAAGTATGTGGATATGTAGTTAAACATTCTCTTCTTAATCCACGTTATTGTGTAATGTATATAAAATCCAGTTATTTATCTTGAGTTGCTGTATTAATGTTTTTAAATTGCTTAATTGTTTGATGTTATAGTTCACAAATTTTGAGAATGGTGCTAGACTGTGGAATTTGTGAGAATATAGAATGTAGGGCTTTATGTCCAAAGATTATGATTTAGCAACTCTTGGGACGTATATTTTTTAAAAATAGCTTTATTGAAATATAATTCACATACTATACATAATTCTCCCATTAGAAATTTTTAATTAAATTGTTTTATGTATTTACAGAATTGCATAACGAGCTGCACAATCAATTTTAGAACATTTTCATCACCCCAAAGGAAATCCTTTTTCTGTTAGCAGCCACTGCCCGGTATTCCCCAACCCCACAACCCTCCGCAGCTTCTAATCTACTTTCCGTGTCTATTCAGGTTCGCTTCATCTGCACATTTTATATAAATGAAATCATACAGAATGTGGTTTTTTGTGACTGGCTTCCTTTACTCAGCATAATGTTTTCACGGTGGATCTATGTTGTAGCATGTATCAGTACTTCATTTTCTTATTATTGCCAAATATTCCTTTGTATGGAAGGAATATGTATTTTTACAAAGCTCTGGGTAACATTCCCCAGTGTTTCAAATTCTATATACATAGAACATACCTTGAAATGTTAACTGTGTGTTTTTCTTTTTGTTTCTTTTTTTTTTTTATTGTACCTTAAGCTGTGGGGTACATGTGCAGATCTTACAGGATTGTTGCATAGGTACACATATGCCATGGTGGTTTGCTGTCTCCATCCCCCCGTCACCTACATCAGGCATTTCTCCCAGGGTTATCCCTCCCCAACCTTCCCCCCACCCCCCGCTGTCTTTCCCCTAGCCCCTCACCCCCTAACAGACCCCAGTGTGTGATGTTCCCCTTCCTTGCCCATGTGTTCTCATTGTTTAACACCTGACTTTGAGTGAGAACATGCAGTGTTTAGTTTTCTGTTCTTGTGTCAGTTTGCTGAGAATGATGGCCTCCAGATTCATTCATGTCCCTACAAAAACACGAACTCATCGTTTTTTATGACTGCATAGTATTCCATGATGTATATGTCCCACATTTTCTTTGTCCAGTCTGTCATTGATGGGCATTTGGGTTGGTTCCAGATCTTTGCCACAATGGTAAACAGTGCCACAATGAATGAACATGTGCATGTGTCTTTATAATAGAATGATTTATAATCCTTTGGGTATATACCCAGTAATGGGATTGCTGAGTCAAATGGTGTTTCTATTTCTAGATCCTTGAGGAATTGCCACTCTGTCTTCCTCAATGATTGAACTAATTTATACTCCTACTAACAGTGTAAAAATGTTCCTATTTCTCCACATCCTTTCTAGCATCTGTTTTCTCCAGATTTTTTAATGATTGCCATTCTAACTGGCATGAGATAGAATCTCAATGTGGTTTTGATTTGCATTTCTCTAATGACTAGTGATGTTCAGCATTTTTTCATGTAATGGTTGGCCTTATAAATGTCTTCTTTTGAAAAGTGTCTGTTCATGTCCTTTGTCCACTTTTGAATGGGATTGTTTGTTTTTTTCTTGTAAATCTGCTTTAGTTCTTTGTACATTCTGGATATTAGCCCTTTGTCAGATGGGTAGATTGCAAAAATTTTTTCCCATTCCATTGGTTGCCAGTTCACTCTAATGATTGTTTCTTTTGCTGTGCAGAAACTCTTAAGCTTAATTAGGTCCCATTTGTCTATTTTGGCTTTTGCTGCCATTGCTTTTGGTATGTTAGTCATGAAGTCTTTGCCTATGCCTATGTCCTGAGTGGTATTGCCTAGGTTTTCTTCTAGGATTTTTATGGTGTTGGGTCATATGTTTAAATCTTTAATCCATCTGGAGTTAATTTTAGTGTAAGATATAAGGAAGGTGTCCAGTTTCAGCTTTCTGCATATGGCTAGCCAGTACTCCCAATACCATTTATTAAACAGGGAATCTTTTCTCCATTGCTTGTCTTTGTCAGGTTTGTCTAGGATCAGATGGTTGTAGATATGTACCATTACTTCTGAGGCCTCTGTTCTGTTCCATTGGTCTATATCTCTATTTTGGTACCAGTACTGTGCTGTTTGGATTACTGTAGCCTTGTAGTATAGTTTCAAGTCAGGTAGTGTGATTCCTCCAGCTTTGTTCTTTTCGTTTATGATTGTCTTGGCTATGTGGGCTCTCTTTTGGTTCCATATGAAGTTTAAGGTGGTTTTTTAC